AGAGGGGGAGGGAGAGGAGGGGAGAGAGTGGAGGGGGAGGGGGAGGGAGCTGCCACCGCAGGCTTTGTTGTCCGTCTCAGCACCACTTAACCCAACTGTTAAAGAGATTCCGAGGCAATTAGGCTCAGGGGAAGCCATAAATCTCAATAACCATCAGCCCAAGTTTTCTCCCCTCCTTGAAACAACAGATATAATTTCACTGGTTGCGCCCAGACTCCCAGAGGGCTTTCTGATAAAAAGCCACTTCTTCAAAACATCAAACCCAAGTTCCTCTCATCTTTCAAGCAACCAAGGGTCAGGTTTCCCTAGAGTGGACGGAGGCCTGGGGCGGGAGGCGGGCAGGCAGCGGCCCGTCCTCTGTGGTCCCGCCTGCCTTCCACAGCCGAGAGGTCAGTGCCGAGGCCGAGGGTTCCCAGATCATTCTGTGGCCTCCTTGAGTCTGCCGTGACACCTCTGAGAGCTGGTCCCCTGATCTCTGCTTGGTTGCCCCTGCTGGCGGGGTGCTCACTATGGCTCGCACTGGTCCACGTCAGGAGGGCTCTTCTGGAAGGAAGTGCTTCTGATGCTGCTTCACACCTGCCTCCCACACCACCCCACAGGTCCTGGCTCTGTCTGGGGGTGTACAGGATCCCCCCTGGTGGGATGGGGAGCCTGCAGGTGACTCCCAGAAGCTGAGACACACACGGAGAAGATGGAGGGGGGACCCTCAGGAGTGGGGTGAGCAGGGGAAGTACTCACATTGCATCTCTGTGGTTTTACTCTGGGTAAGCTTTATCCTTAGACATTGGAAGGGCTTGGAGAAAGTTCTCGAGCAGCCAGCCCCCTGCAGACGCCACTGATTCCTCACAATAACAGAGGTGGGAAAGGGGGAGGGGGAGGGCAGGTTTCACTGTTCCCATTCTACAGAGCGGGAGACTGAGGCTACCAAGGGCCCCGCCTGGCCCCCTCCTCGCGGAGGCCTCCCCAACTTCCCCTCCCAAGAGTTGGAGGTGGGGCTACACCTGGGAACTCTGGGCTCCCCTCCAGGGAAGGTGGGGACGCGGCCTCCTGGGCTTGCCTTTTTCCCCTCTGCCAGACGGGGAGCCCCTTGAGGGCAGACACTGAGCTTGTGGGGGTTCTCACCTCCCCCTGAACCCTTGGCTCCCACCTCAGAAGACCCCTCCATAAAACAGGGTTACTGTGGAGACCCGGTGAGGAGGCGAGAGGAGGAGTCACCAGCGGTCCGATCCCCTGGGGCTGGGAGCGGGGGTCAGTCACACTCTGCAGCCCTGCCACCTCCAGCGCCCGGATCCTGCACGTGGGCTCCTGAACAGGCAAACGCCACGTCCCCTTGAAGGCGGCCCAGGACACCCCGTGGTCACGTATCTGCTGCATTTCCACCCCTGAGCTCGCTCTGCATGGGTTTGTCTTATTTTCAAGACAGCGAGCACGGTCTTGCAGAGCGCAGGGCCGGCTGCACCGGGCTGGGCGGCCACTCCCACCTGCGGGCTGCAAGGAATGAAGCCAGTCCTCCTGCTCCTCCAAGGCCGGGGTCCCTCTCTCCCCGTCGCAGGGCCTGCGGTGTGGTCACTACAGGCCGGCAGAGCAGCAGGTGAGGGGCCTGCGGCTGCTCTCTCCACCCGGAGATGCGTGGCCCAGGCCCTCCCGACGGCCAGCCCTCCCACAACCACCCTCACCTCCAGCACAGAGCAGAGGCTCAGAGAGGCTCAGCTTCTACCTACGGTCACATAGCAGTATTCAGTCAAGGCAGGATTTGAACCCAGGTCTGCTTGGGTCTTGAGCCTGGATTTGAGGCTCCACCTGGGACAAGATTCCTTTAAGGAAGTGGAGGGAGCCTTGGGGACCCTCCCTTCACAGATGGGGAGGCTGAGGCCCAAGAGGGGACTTGCCCAAGCTCACACAGTGAGCCCCAGCCAGAGCTAAATTCCAGTCCGGAGCTTGACCCAGCCCCGTGGGCCACGCCGACAGCCCTCCTTGGGGCACATGTCGGGGGTCTCTGCCGAGGAGGACTGGCAGGTCTGGCTTTGGGGAACCCCCTGCTCTGTCCCAGAAGTGCCCATCGAGACACTAGCAGGGTGCAGACAGCCTGACCCCCATGACGGTTCCAGGGCCATGCGCCGCCTGCCATGAGAACCAGGGCCCCAGGAGGCAGGCGGGATGCCCTGGGCTCCCTGTGGTCCGGCATGAGCACGCGGACCTCTGTCATGGGTCCCGCCCCAGGGTGCCAGGGCCGCTCCAAGTAGCCCTTCTCCCTCCCTGGCTCACGGGCCCCTTGGGCACTCGGGCCAGCCCCTCCAGCCAGGGCGGAGCAGCAGAATCCAAAAGGAAGCCCTGTGGTCTCCGGTCAGCGCCCCCAGTTCCCTCCTCCCTTCCCTGGTTCCTTGAGCATTTGACACAGGACTCACTGGGCTCAGCAGGGCCTTGGAAAACGTGAACAGGTCCAGGCTCTGGGGACTCTGCTCCTCCCCGAGCGGCTTAAGTCTGTGTGGTGGGGCCTCGGCTGGGCCAAGAGCGACGTATGCTTGTTCGGGGGCCCAATCCAGACCGGGGAAATCAAGGAGGGCTGCCTGGCAGAAGTCACATCCCAGCTGAGACCACAAGGATGGAGGAGCTGTGCAGACGGGGAGGAGAAGGGGAGGAAACAGCAAGCACAGGCAGAAAGGGTGGGTCCGGCCCTCGGGGCCGATGGTCGCCGGCGCGGCCGCAGCAGAACGTGGTCAAGGAGTGTCCCGCACAAGCAGCCTGGACCCTCCCCCAGGGGCGAGCAGCATCCCTCCGTGCCAGACCTGGCGCTGGGCTGTCCCCGCAGCCCACAGCGAGCGGGGCTTTGAGTCCAGTGCGGCGTGGCCCAGAGAGAAGGGAGGGGAGAGTGGCAGGGAGCAGGCGCTGGGGGAGCAAACGAGTGGATGAAACGCAACCCCGCGTCAGGGCGGGGCTCCCTCCAGACCCTCCAGTGAGCCGGGCGCCGCCGAGCTGGCAAAGATGCCCGGTGTCTGGAAACCGTGCCCACCTGTCTGCAGCCGTGGGCACTGAGACTTGCAGGCCCCGTGGGCATGGCCAGCCCGGCTGTGCCAGCTCTCAGCGAGTCAGGGCCAGGACACTCATGCCTGGGGACAAGGCTGGGCCACACCAAAGCCGAGGTGTCCTGGGGGCCTGCAGCCCGAGGTGGGGTGCTGGGGCCAAGGGGCTTCTGCCCCCATGTCCGCCATCTCCCCTTCCACTGGACCCAGGGCAAACCCAGCGGGGAGAATTTCCCCAGGCATCTTGACTCCGCGGAGGGGATGCGGCTTGTAGAATGTCATCTGGAGGGAAGCGGGTTAGGAGGAAGTCGGGATACACGCGGGCAAGTGCAGCGCTGCCCTGGAGCCCACATCCGCCCGGGGCCTGGAAGTTGGGAGCAGGCGCGGCAGATCCAGGGGTGGGGGGCGTGCAGCAGGTGGCAGTCCCTGTTCTCCTGCCCAGGAGCCTGGTCCTGTCCAGAGGCGCTTTCTTGGATGTCTACCCTCCTCCTTCTTTGATGGCATCTTGCATGGCTGATGATGTGAATGGAGATAATCTGCTGACCAATCCAGAACCATCTAAAGCATCCTCCTCCTCCAAGAAGCCTTCCTGCACTCACCTGGTGCACCCAGCACACAGGAGCCTCCGCATTCAGCGACACGCAGACAGCTGCCCCTGCCAGCCTCAGGCTTCGCCTCCCACCCCCTCTCCTCTGCTCTGGTCTTTGCCCCTCAAACGCATTGAGCTTTTTGCAGTCACTGCCCCCTCTTCCCCCAGCATGGCCACGGCCTGACTGCAACCCAGCCGCAGGTCCTCCCCTCCCCCACCCTCCCCTCCGCAACACGTGCTCTCCAGGCGTCCCTGTTTGTCCACTTGCTTGTCTCCCTCACAGCACGGACGCCTCACGAGAACAAGCTCTCTGCTTCCTTCTCCTGACGCAATTCCACACTCCCCATCTGCACGTGCCAGGCACCCCTGCACACACACACACACACACACACACACACACATACAGAGGCACGTGCACGCATGCACACACATGCACACTGGCACCCAGGGACACGTGTGCTTGCATGCATGTGCACACGCGCGGCCTTGAACCCTGGTCTCACGGTCTGTTCTGGCTCCTGCACTATGCATTCCCGCTTCCACTCAAGTGAGTCAGGCTTAGAGACGTTGGGAACCCGCCGAGGGCCACACAGCTGGTGGAGCCGGGGCTAGACCAGGACTGCCCCTCACCACCGGGCCCCACGGGCCCCGCGGCGAGCAAGCACAGCTCCTGTGGTCGCTGGGTCCTCGCTGGGGCTGCTCCCGGGCGGAGAAGGAAAATTCTTGGCAGGCCTCTCTCCTCCATACCCTCCCCCCGCAACACAACGCAGACGTTCACCCAGGAGTAAGTAAACTTTACTAAGAGGAACAGAACCTTTAAAAGAAGGAAACTGAGATACCCAGAGGGGGAACGCCTAATTTCATCCCATTTCGCAACTGAATCGTAAATCGGTGTTGGAACGGAGCTCCCAGGCGGCGTGCTGAGACCGCGCAGGGGGGTCATTGCGGGCTTTCTCCTCCCCCCGCCCCCCCAGATCCCAGACCAGCGCAAACCGGGCTGGGTCCCCTGGGTCTCTCACGGAGCCCTTGGGCCAAGGCTGAGCTGTGTCACCCCGGGTCACTGAGCCCCGGGGTCTTCAGTGGACAGCTGCCGCGACCCCCCAGGCCTGAGGGGCCAGTGACGGTGCCACCAGGGCCCAGGCGTGTTACTGACTGAGCTTTCCGCCAGCAGCCAGCCACGTGCCTTAGCTGCCCATCTCTGCCCCCTGAGGCCCACTGAGACCCTTGGTCTCTTTCCACTCCCATGGCTGGGCCTCACAGCCGAGACGCCCCAAGACTTCTTGGGGGGCACTGCTGTGGCTAACTGACAACATGTGGCCCCAGGATGGTTGGTGCTGGCTGCCCAGAATCAAAATCTGTGACATGTAAACTTTGCAAGAAGCAGCGTGAGCTTAGACGACAGTGTTCCCACCTGTTTATTGAACAGTCCCGAGAGGCCTTCCATGTCCCCGGTCCCTCTCATGTCACATACACCCCAGGAGCGCCCCCCCTCTGCCCACAGGACGGGGCCATGGGTGGAGGGGGTGAGGGGGGGCAGGGAGGCAGCCGGGGCCTGAGTGACGCCGGTGCCAGCGGGGCCTGCAGCCTCCTCCCTGTTTATGTCAGCATCTGTGAAAAGCATCCGTCTGGTTGCTCAGATGTATGCCAAGAGCTGGTAGCAGAGGTCATGACAAGCGGGGCGACCTTGGCCCTCGTCCAGCGGTCCTGACGCCTGGGAGAGAAGTGCTTATGTCAGCAGCTCCATTCTGACCCCGTCCTGCGAGGTGGGGGCTTTCTCCATTCGACAGGTGGTGGGGCTGGACCCCCAGACCGCTCCTGCTCATGCTGCCGGACGGCAGTGAAGCCAGGATTTAGACCCGGATCTGATGCCAAAGCCTTTGCTCCCCTCTCAGCTCCCCACTGACTCCAGACACTGCTCCCGTTTCAGGCCATGGTCATCTCTGTGCCACACGGAAGGATGGCTGGGGGCCCAGCTAACGAACAAACAAGACTGTTCTTCTGAAAAAGTCCAAAGTCCCCTCTTTCTCTCCACCCTGTAGTCCTGTCCATGACCTCGGTGACCCAACCTCTCACCTGTTGATGCCACGTTGAGCCTGCATTTGACCTGTGGCCCTGACAACATGTGAGAGCCTGAAAGATGGCCAGCCTGGGGGTCTTCTGTGAAGGCAGACCGACAGCTCAGACCTGGAAGGAGGCCCCAGGCCGCCCTGCCTGCCCCAGGCCGACTCCCACACCAGCTGAACCTTCCTGCAGGTCCTCCTCCACCTGGGTGCCCAGCTCTGGATTCTCCACTTCCTGAATGCAACCCCTCTTCTGACGTTCCAGAAGGTTCTACTGACGAGAGCATGGAGGCTTCTCTAATTACTAATGGGCAAGTGCCCCCAGGGAAGCCCCCAGCCCCCAGGTCCTGAAACCTGAGGGATTCAACCCCCTTCTCCAAGCTTCTGGTCAGACTATGGGCTGTGCAGGTGAGGGGGGGTCGGGGGGGGGCGTTCTCCCTTCACCGAACTACTCAGGGAAGAATTCCCACCCCCTTCTCACCTGAGCAGAGGGTGCCTCCTCCTGCAGCGAGGAAACCTGGGCTTGGCGAGCACCACCCGCAGCGGGAGCCGGAGACTCGGCCCCACTCAAGGTGAGAGGACGACTCCTAACAGACCGGCGGCAGAGGTGGCGCAGTAGGCAGGTTTTCAGGGCTCCCCGTGAAAGCCTGCAAGGTCTGCAATTTCTGATTTGAACTGAAATGGTGGGTAGAAAGGACCTACCCTCCACACACACATATCAGTGGATGGAGCCAGCCAGCCACCCACCCATCCACCCACCCACCTTGCTGCCCCACATACCTGTCCAACATTTTCCATTCATTTATCCATCTGTTCACCCTACCACCTACCCATCACCACAAATTCATCCATCCAGCCACCCACCCTACTGCCCAATCATCCATCCATCCACCCACCCACCCGCTTATTCAGCACTCACTCAGCTCCCACGACCTCTCTTACTGTCCACCGTCTCAGAGGGTGCAGACGCACCAACCTGGTGGCGCTCCTGAGGAAGACAGACACAAAAGCAGATGTTTATAAACCACATCGGGGTGCAGGCACCCCTCCCCGGGGGAAGGACCTTAACCACAGGACCACGGGCCGAGGCTGTGCAGCACACTGTCCCTGCTCCATCTTGGGGGTCCCCGCTGAGCCCTCCCCAGCTATCCCACAGCCTCCTACCCCCTGACTTGTGCATGTTCCAGACGTAACGCCCTCCACCTTGTCTGAATACCCAAACCCTGCCTGTGGGCAAGGCACACCTTGAAGCCGTGCCCTCCTGTGTGGCCCTGTTGGAGCACCTACCGCACTGCATCCAAACAGCCCGCTGTGTTTGCGCCCCCACTACTGGGGCTCCCCGGAGGGCAGAGACCCGGCTCTGCTCGGGCAGCACCCGGTGTGGAGCTGATGTGAGAGCTGACGCTTTTGAGAAGAGTCTGTGTAAGGAAGACATGGGGGAAGGGGAGGGGGAGGGACGAATGGCCAGAGCCCCCTTTCGTGATCCCCCCACTGGAGTCTTCAGCCCACTTGTCCTTCTGGATCTGGGGGCTGCCTTCCCACCCCTCCGTGGACCCACACATGGGACCTGACATCTGCCTGTGGACTGTTCTCCTAGGCCCCAGGAAAGACGCCCCCATCCCAGCCCCAGGCTCCGAAGGACCCGTGTCTTCCTATTCACCTCCCCCCAGGCCAGTCCCAGGGCGTGGGACTCCCTCTTCCCGAGGAGGGGCCTTGCCAGGCTGGGTCCTGGGAAACCAAGGAACCTTTGGAAAGGCCCTGGCCCAACCCTGGGCAGCCAGCCCCCCTCCCCAGCCCAGCAGGGCATCTGGGAGTCTCTTCGAGGGACTGGCCCGTTTCGGAGGCCCACTGAGCCCCCGGGAGACAGGGCTGCCACGCTAGCGTCTTCCCACAATGGTCGGTTGGAGCACCCGTCTGTCAGAGAACGCTAAAGCCAAGACCAAGGGCCACGGCCTTGACCGCCAGCCCTGGACTCCAGAGACCACGTTTCGCAGGACACACACACCACTTAATATTTAACTCCCTGCAAGCTTTCGGGCCGCTAATGACATGACATTAACTTCGTGCAAATAAGAAGGTTCAGAGGCACCGACCTGCAATCCGTGGAGCATTGGCCAGGCCGCCGCACCCGCTCTGCCCACGAGGGCCCCAGCTGGCCGTCGGGGGCTGAGGGCCAGGGACGGGGCTGTGGGGGAGGGGTTGCGGGGGCGCAGGGCTCTGTTCCAACGCCCTCTTTTCGGTTGTTTCTAGACTCTGCTCGAAGGGTGGCTCCCCCAGGAAGCCCCCAGTCTCCCTGCCCCTCCCCACAGCCACGCTAGCCTCTGGGTACTTTCCTGTCTCCTCCACGCTCCTACAGGGCAGGGTAATGAACCAGCCACTCTGCCTTGGCCGGTCCCCGCTTAAAGCAGACTGGAGACCAGGCTGCAGCTGCGGGCAGGGATGCCGGGAAGCACGGTGGGGAGCGGGAAGAGAGGGGAAGGTGGGAGAACAAGGAAGCTGCTTTCTCGATGGGCTTCGGCAGCTGGCAGGGGGCTCAGGCCCCGGGGGCCCTGTGAGACTATGGAACACATTCCAGAATGTCCCTGTCTAGGGGGGCACCTTACTGACCCGCATCCTGCTTTAGGGTCGTTTGCGGGAACTTAACTCCCCAGCACCTGTCGCAGACCTTGCCTGCCACCAAAAAAAAACGCAGAACGTCAGCAGGGGACACGGGACAGCCCCCAAGTGCCATTCGCTGCGGACCCTCGGGCTGGGCCTGCGCAGGCACGCCCTCGCTCTCCTCGGCTCCTGGGTCGGTCCTGCTAGTGTGGGATGGCTTGGCTAGGAAAGCTCACCATCCCCACTTTCGAGATTAGGAGACTGAGGCCAGGTGGGGCATGTGGCCCAACCAGCGGGCAGCAGAGCCAGATACATTCTGACCACCGGCCGCACGACTCGCTCTGAACTTGCAGCCGTGGTCCGTGAGCCTCCAGCCGCACACGCTCGGCTGCTGCAGGCCTCAGAGCTTGGGGTAGGGGAAGCAACCAGAGGAGGCGGCCTCCCCCAAGGTGAGTCCAAGGAGGCCACCGGAGACCAGGCAGGGCCGGCGCTGCCTCGCCGCTGTGGGCCCTCAGCCAACGCGGAGCCCCCACCCCCCGCCGTAAGGGGGCAAGGGTGTGGGGCTGTCACAGAGCTGCAGGGAGGCTCAGAGCGCTCCTGAGGACAGCCAGGCCGCCCCGGGCCTCTAGAGAGTCCTCATCAGACAGACAGCTGGGTCCTCCTCCTCAAGGAAGCACCTCTGCTGACCTGAGGGAAGACTCTCAACGTCGCTGACAGTGAACCTGAGCCCAGAGCCCGGCCTCGACCCAGGCTCCATCCTCTCTCTCTCCCTTCCCGCCAGGCCTCTGGGCTCGGCTGACGGAGCCCCGGAAGGAACCCTGCAAAGCCGCTTCCCTTGTTGGCCCCTTTGCTGTGCTGCTCCGGGGGCCCAGCGTGCAGAGGGTGCCAACGAGCCCCTTCCTCCCTCTCCCGGCTCCCAGCCTGGTCCCCGGCCCTGGGAGTCACCTCTGGGGCGACGCTCTCCTCCCAGCCTCCCAGCCCCCCCATGCTGCCTGGCCCTGCACTTCCAAACCCCCCAGAAGTAGGTCGGCCGGCAGCTGAGGGGCGCGTGGGTGTGCAGAAGCAGGGTGCAGAGCTGTAGACCCAGCCCTCAAATTCAGAGTCGTGATCCACTGGGCTGCTGGGGTGGGGGCATTTCATGCGGGAAGCTTGACATCAGCCCGTCCGGCTTTCCCGAGCACCTGCGGACCAGAGGAGGCCCACGGAGGGGAAGACGCCATGTGCCCATGGCCCGGGAGCGGGCGGCGCAGGCGTGGACCCCACCCTGATTCCAACAGGGCTTTGAGATTACCCCGACCTCTTGCAGGAAGGAGTGCTCAGGGGGGCACAACGGGGAAGACACAAAAGATGTGTGTTGTGGGGGGGCTGCGTCAGAAGAGTGAACGACCCAGATGTTGCTGTCATACCCAGAAAAGACACCCAGATGACCTGGGAAATGACAGAGGACTGCCTGGAGGTGGGTGTGACTAAACCAGGACCGCATTCAGCCAGGGAGAAGCGTTTCAGGCAGAGGGCACAGAGTGCACAATGGTAGAAGCAGGTGGCTGGAGCATGGAGCAGGGTGTGGGGGTGGTGGTCAGGAGTCGAGTTTGGAAAGGAGGGTGAGGGGCTGGAATTCCTCCTGCCCTTGGGATCCTCCTGTGCCATGGACCCTGCACCCCACGGCCCCACCCTGCCGATCCCTGGCTCAGGGGAAAGCAGACCGTGACCACGGCCTGATCCTCCTCCCCCCACGCAGGCTCCAGCCCCACTGAACTGGTGTTAGCAGTCCACACTCACCCACCAGATCCTGCCTGCCCGGAGCTGGGTTGCTTACACCCACACCTGGTGAATACACCCTCCTCACTTTCCAGGTGTCGACTCACCTGTCACTGTCTGGGAGACGCTTCCTGGTCCCATTCTGGGACAGGTGGCCCCACTCCGAGTTCCTGCAGCTCCCGGTACTGCCCCCATCCCTAGGCTCCCCCCGACTTACTTTCCCTTCCACCAAACTGTGGGTGCCACAGGGTAAGACCCTCTTCCATCTTGTTCGCCCCTCTGTCCTTGATGCCGACGGACAGCCTGGCGCACAGTAGGTGCCCAGTAAAAATACGTTGAAAGAAATCATGGACAAATGCCAACAGATAGAAGCTTCAAGGAGGCAGGTTTTTAATTCAGTCCTTCGCTGTAGGGAGTGAGTTCCCCATCATGGAAGGTATCCAAGCAGAATCTGGGTGGTGTTTTGCAGGTGATGGACGAAGCCATCCATGTCTCACCCACAGGGATGGGCTCAGGCCCAGGGGAGGCTCTGCACTGGAGGAGGGTCTGTGCAGCCGGGGGCAGCCCCAGGAGAGGCGGGTGGCTGTCCCTTTGCAGGAAGTGGGGCCGGGATAGGGGCTCAGGAGCATCCCATGTGGAGGGAGACTCCGTATTGGGCTCAGCCCTGCGGAAGGAAATCTCGATGACCCCTCTCAGCTCTGGCAAAGTAGGCGCGCTGTGAGCGGACCCTCAGCTCTGCTTCTAAATCGCTGCCATTTCTCTGAAATGCCTGCGCTCCTGCTTAGGCCTCCACTTCCAGTGACATACTCTGGGGTCCAAAGAGAGTCACTTGCCAAGCACCTGCCCGCCTTCCAGCGGGGCAGGCCACTTGAGGGCCTCTTGGTCCCCTGATGGCAGCCCCTTGGTGGTGGGGGTGAGGAGCTGCAGTGGGGTCCAGGGCCGAGCCCCACCCCTGCTCCCGGGATGGGAGGGTTTCACACAGAGCTGGTGCTGAAGCCGGTCCTGTGTCCTGCAGTGCAGGGGTGGGGGAGGGCCGTTCGGGGTGTCCTGTCCCCCCAGGCAGCCATGGGACAATGCTGGGGAGCCCCTCCCGCCCAGCCCTGCCAGCACTCCGAAGCTTCTTCCAGTCTCCTCTCAGCCACAGCTGACTGGCCCTTGTCAGCACCCGCTCAGGGAAAGGGCTGGAGCTGGCCCGCTGAGTCCCCCCCACGCGGGGTTAACCAGTCCCTGCGGCAACCCTGGGAGGAAGAGGGGCCGGGAGGTGGTGTCGCCCGGGCAGAGCGCCCCGCCGGCTCTGCTCCTGCCGCGTGGGTGGGGATCGTGGCAGCGGGATTAAACCAGGCTGAGCCGGGGTCCCTGAGCCAGCAGATGAGGCCTCAGCAGCTCCCGCTCCCAGGCTCACTTTCCGCACTTGGCGGACGCTCACAGGGCAGGGCTGCTCTCTCCGCTCGCGTCTGTGCCCTCGACGGGCCGGCGCACAGTGGATGCTTTGCCGAAGGTGCGGATGAGCCCTGCCCGCCTGCCTGTGCCTGCCTGCACCTGCCCTGTGTGGGACGCGCCCGGGGCTGTCCCCACAGCCCCACCCCCGCCAGCCAGGGCTGCCTGGCCTTCAAATGCTGCCTCCGACTCCTGGACTCGGGGACAACACAGTGCTTTCCCGAAGAACCAGAACAACATGCATTAAAACCCCAGTCCTGACATTTCACTGGGAGGCGCCCCGGGACGGGCAGCTTAGCCTCTCTGAGCTTCAGTATTCCTGGTCTGTAAATTGAAGATGATGACAGTGCCAGTTTGCTGTGAGACGCGTGCGAGAGCACGCAGTGAGCCGCCCAGTATACAAAGTTGCTATTAGCAGTGCCCTTTCGAGTTTTCTGTTTTTCACTGTGTATTCCTCCCGCCGCCTGGTCGAGCCCACGGGATTCCCGGAGGCAAGATCCGGGCCTTCTGTGCCCCATGGTTCAGCCTGTGTCCCTCGCGGAGGGCAGACGGACGTTCAGGGACAGAAAGTAAACTCACGGGGTAAGTTCCATCACCTTTGGTCCATTGGCCCAACACTGTCTCC